TTCTTTTGTTTAATCACATTTTTAATAAATATGAACTAATATATGAAATGTGAAATTAATCTTTAAACAGTCCAATATAAACAATTTGAATAGCATATTTCTATGTGGCATCAAGTTTATTTTAATTTTTCTCAAAGCAACTAGTGTTTAAGTAGTTTCAAATTTACTAAAAATTGACAATTCTAACAGAAAGACAGCATATGTATAACAAGTTAACTATTTTCATCCTTGAGAATACTTTATTTTCAATTATCTTTAGCCTAACCTATTTCACAGAGAAATAGTTCTATTATCAAATATCACAGTAATAGGCAAAAAAAATTGAAAAGCAACAAGTGCCAGTCTTGAATAACTAATTATTAACTGAACATATTCATTTTAAATACAAGTTTTATCATTAATATAACCAAAAAACATGGATTTTTTTTTAAAAAAATTAGAAAGTCTTAAGAAAGTAAAACTTTAATATACAATAAACTTTTACATATTAGTGAAGTTTTTAAAAAAAAATGACAACAGAAACAAAAACTTAAAATTCTTCTTATTCTAAATCATTCACATAGATAATAACAATGCTCAGTAAGAAAAAATTTAAGATTTCAATAATTAAATACTTGAAATTATTAGAATAAATTCATGAACAACTTTTTTCAATGAATAATATTCATCATAATATATTTAATATTTAAAAATTGAATAGACAAATAAAAATATACTTTAAATTCAGAACTGACCCACAGTTCAGTAGAAAAGATTATATTACTAAATAAAATAAATGAGTACAATCAATTTTGTTAACCCCTTAACTGGTAATTAAAAGTTATGCGATTCGATCCTCAGTGCCACTGTTTTTCAGACAGATGCGCATATGTGGTGTATTGGGCAGGGAGGGGGAAAATACAAAAAGAATCGTATCTTGTGTTGAAACAAGGAAATCCTTCGCAAACACTGTCAAGGTCATTTTATTTCATTAAAAACCTTCTAAATAGTTTTGGTGATAGCAGCGCCAGAAAAAGAATCATATTTCGGAAGAACAGATATATCCATAAGGGCAAATAATGCACAAGTTGAGCATGACATACACAGGCAGCAAGGGGTTAAAAAGTTCTATTTTAAAAGTAAACAGAACAAAATATTATCTTCAAATTAATTGTATATTTCAATATAACTAATTTTGTATAAATGTAAAAGAATGTTTCTTAAAATGCAAAAGTTTGCAACGGGACACAATTTTAGGCACTATCGTATTAACTGTGTAGCCATGATTTTTCGCTAAATGTAGACTGCATGCAAAAGACAAATTGTCGAAAATTGTACATTATGGCAAATTATTTGATACCATATACTAAATTGAGACAATTACAAAAATGCATTGAAATTCACCAAATGTTACCCAACAGCATGGTATTAGTACTCTAAAGCGAGTACCCAATTTTAACTATGAATACAATTTCTAAAATAAGCAAATTTTACTTATACAATAACTTTCCCAAAAAGAATAAAAGTTACTGTTTACAGACTATGAAAAATATTTTAAATATTTAAAGTAATAAATTAATTGTTTACATATAAATAAAAATGTACAAAGAATGCTAGTTGAAATCAAATGCCATAAAGGGCGGGTCACCCAACAAAACCTTTTAGAAATGAACAAAATACAAAGCCTTTATGTACTTTCCAAAAATAAATTAAGAAAATTTACATTTTTTAAAATAAAAGATTATACACGTGTTTAATTTTCTTGATTATCTTCTAAATATAAAAACTTTCATATATACGAGAAATAAAAAGTGCATGAGCATAATTTTTTATACAACACATATATTTTTACATATCCTATAGATATGATTTATGATTCGAGATTTAAGTATTCTTCCATGTTTAATACATGTCTTAACACAATCTAAGGATGTAAATTTGCAACTTTAATAATTCAAAATAAGTTGCTGCACAAAATTTTAGAATAAATTTAGCTAAAAATATGAACACATTTTAAAATAAATAAACATACTTACCTTAAAATTACTATTGCTTAACCAAGATGCTATGCTATCAATAAAAAATCCAATTTCTTCAAAATCTAATAAACCTGAAGGAGTTCGTAAGCAGCTTAAAATGTCATTTCCAAGCTGGATTCGTTTTTTAATATCTTGCGTTGTTAGTAATGGAATGAATTGTTGCAGGCTGCCAGCCATAGTGAAATCAAGAACAATATCACAGTCAATCCAATAGCATAATATTCAAAACTAAAAAAGAAATATATTAATTAATTTATTAAAAAAAATCAGATGTTTTTCTAAATAAATAAAATTTCAAATTAACTCCCAAACTGTGATCAGAAAAATATTTTCTCCATCAAAAAAATTATTTTCCTTGCAAATTTTTAAACACCTTGAAAAATTATATGCTGACATTACTCTATAAACAATACAGTTACACAATTAAACAAAAAGTAAAAATTCTTTGAAAAATATTTAACTTTATATGGTCAGGCTTCTGTATGAAGACATTTTATTCAGTTATTATAAAATAGAAACAAAGAAAATAAATCAAGCAATTAGAAGGATAACATTGTATATAATTATATGCAGAAATACATAAAACTATCCTACAAATTTCATTTACTGTAATAGTAATTCTAAAATACATGCACAATTTCAGTCAATAAAAATCATTTTCAATAAGTTGACTAAACGATTTTTTTCTCCTTCAGTTGAAGATGAATAAAAGGGGTACAAAATACACTATAAAAACTCAAACCATTACAAAAATGTTAATGATTACTGCGTTTAATTTACTAAATCATTGTAATCAATGCAATACTAAAAAATAAAATCTACTTATTATCGCTTATAAAAAGGTAAACAAAGCTAGATGATCAGAGGGAGATAATGTTTCAAAATGTCATGAAAAATACAAACGTAACAATATTTGTATTTTATACTCTCAGTTTATTAAACTGAACAATGATTTGTGTGTATATCTCATTATATATAAACATGACTAAAAGGTAAGTTATCCTTTTTAAAAACTGATGATCGCGATGTATATATACAATTTAAAAAGTGACGTGTTTTCAAGATATTCATTACAATAATTTATTATTTTTGAATGACAGGTGACAGAAACATTCAGACAGAATTTAACTTTACAAGATTCTTCTTGAAATTAAACACACAAACTAGCAACAGAAGCAAATTATTTATGTTAGAACACAGAAAATTTCCAAATACTATACAGATTGTTTACAACTGACAACACTATGAATTAATAAACATTATAACTCACCAACTATTCAACTTGTGTTTTCACCAGAGTTTAAGAAAAATATCATTTTCAACTCATACTTCTCTATTCTAGTAGTATATAGCAATGCAGGATGTAATAAATATATACAAATTAATGCACTTCACACATGTTGATTCTGTACGAATACAGTTTCCCATACCGCCAAGCCATCAGCAGAATGCCCCAAGAACCGTTTATAAAAATGTGATTTTGAATCTGGCAACACTTGTGAATTAGAACAGACCAAATCTAAGAATTAGTCAAAAGAATAAAAAGTTTTAAATATGATATGGGCTAGGAGATATTAAAAATAATAGTGCACTATTTAAACGACAGACCTTCTAGCTCTTCCCAAAGGATTCAATTTGTCAAATGAACGAATAATGTGGGTTGAGATTATGAAAGAGCATATGCAGACAAATCTGTAAAAATAATGAAAATTTGAAAAATAGATGAAATTACGAACTTTTAAATTTTTCGTAAATTGAAGCAAATACTTTGAACCACTAAATTTTCAGTCATTTCCAATTATTACTCTTTTCTTTGTGAGATATTGTACTGCTTAACGAACCATTGCCCTTTACTTATCCATGTGAATTTTTACGTTTCATAATTATCAATAAATTTTTATGTAAAATCTTATTACCGCAACATATCCAAGCAAAGTAAACGGACATATGAATTACTAAATTAAAAATTAATTAATTTTGAACATTCAATACCGTTTTGTTTCTGTATCCGCTTTGTTCAATTAGGTCTTTGAATTTTATCAACTGAATGATAACTGTGACTGCTGCTAATTATTTTCGACTTTTCGGTTTCAATAGTTGATTTTAGCTAAGATTACTAATTATTTCTCTTTCACACCATTTTTCTCATGCAAGGATTTCTAAAGAACATTATGCAAAATATAAATGTAAATATTTTTGACTATACAAACTACAGGTTAATAAGAAAATTAAATCTAAAGATTTAAGATATAAGCAAGGGGAAGAGTTTTGTTTTCAAACATAAGTAAGAATATTACATATTAAGATCGTCGACTCAATACAATCAATAAATTCTCGATAAATGAAATAAAACTTTTTTTTTCTATTCGTAATACTTTTAAAAACCTCAAAACAAAGTGCAAAGATTTCCCATCATAAACTATGTTTTATCTTAATATCAACGAGTTTCAAAATTAGAGCAATTAAAAAATAACCATCGAAAATATAATTTAGAAGCTATTAGGTTTAGTAATTTCAATAATAATAATTTTATATTTAGAATATTTTATTATTAATAAAAAAATAAATACATATTATCGAAAAAGATCGAAATTTTATGATGAATATAATAGAATTTTTTCTTTAAAACAGTACTGAAAGAAAAAAAATTTTTTTTTAATAATTCAGTTTTATTCAATTCCTACAATTGGTTCCCACTTTCCCCATATATATATATATATATACAAACTACTGTACATATATATATATATATACAAACTACTATATATATATATATCTTGTTCAAATTTCCAATCCTTCATAAAATACTTCCTATTCATCCACTCAAGTTCAAATACATTTTTTTAAACTTGTAGTGGATGACACTTGATCTTAATACAGTCTTTTCAAATATTAATTCATTATTTTTTTTAATTAATGGATAAATAGTAAAAAACAAAAATAAAGTCCAACACCATAAAAGAAAGGAAAATGATTCGTTAATTCCTTGTAGCGCAGTGGATAGCGCGTTGGACTTCCAATCCAAAAGTTTTAGATTCGAACCTCCCATGGAATGGCCTAATTTCTGAGAATGTGATTTCTTTTTTACCATACTATTTTGCTAGAACAATTAAATTTAATTAATGAACAAATAGTAACAAACAAACAAAAATTAGTCCAACACCATAGATAGAAAGGAAAATGGAAAATCGCTTTTTATTATGTCACTTAATATTGATTCTATCATATGTATATAACTATTTATATTAATTGTAATTATTTGATTAAAAATAATTAAAATAAAAAATTTCTTTGTTGACCTATGTAGGAATTGACTTTAAAAAAATTTTTATATTACTTGTGTTCACTTAAATACACTAAACAAAAATTTGTTGAAGTTCGTCCAATTGTTGAAAAAATGGAGCATGTATTGTTATAGGAAATCAAAAATGAAATTTTTACGAGTTTCTAAAGATGGCATGAGTAACAAAAATAACACCATACGTTTTTATTAAAACTAAAACAAGATTTTAGACAGAATATTTTAAATGTACACAAAAATCACAGTATTTTTGTATAATGACCCTAGTTATCTTCTATAAAATTGTATTACTGTGGTAAAAAGGGGAAAAAAACACTATATATATACACTGCTGGCCACCGTAAATGCAACACCCTGAAGGAAGCATGCAAATAACATGAAATTTACAACATGCATTAGCGGAGGTGAGATATGCAAATGATTACAATTTCAGTGCAGACACACATCACGCGCGCCTGTTGCGCCACCTCAAAGCGCTATTTAAGGCTTGGAGATTTCGACGATTTCAAGTTCGGCAATTGTGTTTTTCTTGTGGTTTTTTCAAAAAACGATCAGTTATGTCTCGTAGAAAACAGCGACCAGCTTTTGATCAGAGTTCGACAGAGGAAAGATAGTGGCCTACCGAGATTGTGGATTATCTTTCAGGGAAATCGGTAGCAGTGTTGGACAAAACCAAACAACGGTAATGCGGATATGTGACCGTTGGATGCAGGAGGGTACGAGGACCGATGTGGTCGATCGCATCCACCTCAGTACACCACTTCACGTGAGGACAGGTAAATTGTGCGCATGCCAGTGACTGATCGCTCAGTCACATCACGAACCACAGCACAGCTGATTGAGTCTGTAATGCATCATTCAGTGTCTTCGCGTACCATTCGACGCCGTTTACAGAACAGTGGTCTGTCTGCAAGACGTCCATTGCTTCGTCTACCCTTGACGCAGAACCACAGACTTCTCCGCCACTAATGGTGCGATGAAAGAAGGATATGGGCGGCAGAATGGAATGAAGTTGTCTTTACTGACGAGTCACGCATCTGTCTGCAACACCACGATGGTCGGATTCGAGTCTGGAGACACCGTGGAGAGAGGATGCTGAACAATTGCGTTATGCAACGCCACATTGATCCTGCACCGGGTATTATGGTATGGGGCGGTATTGGATAACACTCTCACATTCCTCTAGTACGCATTGCCGGTACTTTAAACAGCCATGGCTACATCTCCGAGGTGTTGGAGCCAGTTGTCCTTCCTTACCTTCAGGGCTTGGCCACAACCATATTTCAACAGGATAATGCGCGACCACGCGTGGCACGCATTGTCCAAAGATTCTTCGTCAATCACCAGATTGAATTGCTTCCCTGGCCGGCTCGCTCTCCGGATCTTTCACCGATAGAAAACATGTGGTCCATGGTTCCTCAATGATTGACCCAGATTAAACCCCCAGCTGCCACACCAGATCAACTTTGGCAACGTGCGGAAGCTGCTTGGTCTGCTGTACCCCAAGAACACATTCAAAGTCTCTTTGAATCAATGCCGAGGCGTATGGCAGCGGTGATCTCCAACAATGGCGGCTACTCTGGCTACTGATTCTGGAAGGAAATACACTTCACAAAAGTTTATAAATTTAATCATTTGATATTTAATCAACATGTTATCTACAAAATAAATTTTGTTGTGCTATTTCTTGTCTTTCTTGGTGTTGCATTTATGGTGGCCAGCAGTGTATATGAAATAAGTATCTATAATTGCAATTACAATGGGATAAGAAGATTATGCGTAAATGAAATTTTACATACATTCAACAAGTTAAGGAATAGACAACAAAATTTTTTAAACCTTGAATAAATCAGATATTGGAACTTTTTTGTTAAATAGCGAGAAAATATGAGTTAAAATTTTTAAATTAAACAGTTTAAATACTTTTAAAAATATATAAAACATATCCAAATAAGGTATGCCCTTAATTTTTTTTTTAAGTTTCAAAATTTTATTTAAAAAAAATATTTTTATAAAATGTGGAAATTATTACAAAATGAGGATGAATATTAAAATTTTGTGTGCTGCTTAATATTCCTCTATATGGACACTATTAATTGTAGAAGGCGTATTAAGAGGGTTCTCAATTTATTGTCATTTTAGCATAGCATTCTCTATGCAGGCAACAGCATTAGTGTTCTTTTAATTCATATTCGATTCATGGTGTGCTTAATACAACATCTTAGGAAGAAGTCCAGCGAAGTGATACAACCGTTGACAATAAAGTTCGGTGAATAAAGTCAGAACGGTTGATCTGGAAACACCGGCGAAACAAAACGCTGTACATGCGTAGCGGTAGGTGTGGACCATCTGCCCCCACCATTGTTCAGTTGAGACTCATTTGCGTTCCATGTTAAACTTGTTTTACAAAGTGCTTGTTTAGTACGTTGGTTCTTAACTGAGATTAGGAAAATGAACGAACGAAAGATCAATTTAAAGTTTCATTTCAAGCTTGGAAACCAAAAGAAACTTATGCGATGCTGGTACGTGTTTATAAAGATCAAGCACTATCCTTGAAGTGTGTGTGTACGAGTGGTTCACCCGTTTTCGAAAAGCAGGGAAAGTGTTTCTGACAACCCCTGTAGCGGAAGACTGACGACCTCCGTCAGTGACAAAAACATTGAGAAAGGGAGGAAATTAATTGCTAAAGATCGTCAGTTAACTGTGCGTATGATAGCTGATGAACTGCAGATTAACCGTGAATCCGCGCAATAAATCGTTACTCAGAATTTAGGGATGAGGAAAACATGAGATCGATATTTATAATATTATTATTGACGATATTCCTAACAACCAACGAAACGTGACGAGGCTTTTGAACTTCTTCCCAAAACAATATTTCTTGTAAAGTTTCCAGGACATGCACAGCAGATCTCAGTGGTGCATAGTTATGAGAGGGGACTATTGAGGACAGTAAAATAACTTTCGTTAATATTTCATCTATGTTAATGTTACAGGATTATTCACCGAACTTTATTATCAGAGGTTGTATATGGTGAAACAAATGGCCGCAGATTTGGAGTGTCCTTTCTAACAACAGATCTGAAAATTTTTCATTAAGGAACACTCAAACATGTAGTCTATAGATGTGGGGGTGCATTGTCTTGCTGAAAAGTGTCTGTTGCTCGGAGGTCATTTAATCACGATGCACAAAATCAATCAAAGTGTCGAGATAAGCTTCGGCAGTACTTAGAAGAAAAGAAACCCAATAATTCGTTTTTATTGCCCTGTCTCGGACGGGTTGGTTTCCCCTCCGCTTAGCCCAGCGTTGCACGAGATCTTTTCGAGTGTATATCTTTATCACGTAGGAAATTTCCCCGTTTCTTCTCGGTGACAGCACTTCTGGTTACGCAGAAGAAAGAAGTTAAGGTTAATCTTACTTTTTTTTTTTTGGTTTTGTTTTTAAAAAGTTTGAGATTATCGAATTTTAGTTAATTTAAAAAGTCTTTTTGTATATTTTTGGCATGTATTTATTTATTATTTTTTGTTAAAACCTTAAATATTAGGAAAATCTTCAGAGCTAAAGTACTTTATTCCATTATTCAAGTTCTTTATTAAAGTACTTTACTTTTTTAAAAGACACTTTTTTGTTTACGTATGGATGAATCCATTTCTTTTGAACTACTTTATTTTATTGTATCACTGAATATTAGCGCTAATTTAACAGTTCAAAATAAGCTGCGTAGGATTGAAAACAATTTTGTCATTCGCCCCTTTTCTCCATGATTTGTCAGTAGAACACCTCTTTAACGCAATCATTTTCCACACCGACACTTCCTTATTTTATTACTTTTTTTTTAATGTTAGTTTCGCTTCTGACTTTCACCGACGTTATGTTCTAAAAAGAAGAAACTCAATTCATTTTGGTGTGGTATAAACCAGTCCATAACAAAAGAAAATTTACTCGACAAATTTATGGACAATTTGAAAAAGAAATATGTATCTTGATATGTACTTAAGCTGCTCAGAAGAAGGCGAGAAAGAAAATAAAATATGTGACCATTTATTTCCTGAGCCAACAATCAGTTCATTTTTCAACGCATTTAATTCACCGAGAATTAAATTCTATTCATTGTTAGATGTTTTTTAATGCTGTGGCTGCAGAAACATTTATAAAAAAGTAATTTGAATTTTAGAGTTTCAATAAATGCGACACATTTGAAGAAAAGGTTTCTTTCTGATGGGGCTGCATATTGGTAATTACCATTACAGACCTGGTACATTATCCGGGAGATGGTATCATTTGAAGAAAAAGTTAACTGTTTTAAATGAAGAGATAGAAAAAAAGCCGAGTTATAAAACGAATTTTGAAATTTATTTTTATACTGATAGAGCATTATACGTAGGCTGTTCAAAAAGTTATAAGACGAATTTTACTTCCGCGAAACCACTCGTCGGAATGTTAATATCTGTGGCATAAGAAAAGTTTGTTGTCTGTATTAACACAAGCTATCGATAGATAGCGTATACAGACTCGTATTCTTGAGTATCACGTGATCGAACTGAAACGTGTTTGTGGCCACCTACGAGCCGCGGGCAGTTGTCGAAATGGAAGCAAAAATCTTCAAAAATCAGCATCGGAGACCTTTGATATGATACGATATGATTAAAGACTGAAACAAGAAAGCGACAATATCTTAAAACGCTTCATCATAGCAGACAAAGCTTGGTTGTATCACTGATCCAACCATAAAACAACAAAACAGTGAACGAA